AGGGTTTAGGGTTTAGGGATCAAGGCTTGATATAGGGGCCTAAATAATTAGCTATACTATTTTGGGGGTTCCTGATCATAGCTACAATACAACTTACTACAAAACCGTATTCTAGTTATTAAGGCCCCTACACTAGGCCGGTCTAGGTTTCAGGGCTTTAGGGTTGGGTTTAGGATCTGTGTGAATTGGTGTTTCGGCGTTTTCCATGCGGGAGTTTAGAAATATCGAGGTCATTACGAAATGCAAACCCTCACGGTTGCTCTGCTCGGATGATACAACCCTAAACGCTAACAGGGTTCTCATCGTTTGCTTTACCCGGGTGTGGGTTCTTTCCATAGGACTGTAGGTTTAGGGTTAAGGGATGATGAACACAGAACTGGTGACCGCAGGTGAGGTTACCGTGGCCATACCCTCACATGCGTAGTCACAGACCTACCTCGAATAGATATGAAGATCCGCCACATAATTAACACAAAACCACTGCAGACGGTTATAGCCTCAGTAAACGACTGCAAACTTGTCGTGCAATCTACACAAGACTGGGTCTACTGCTGATTCGCACACCGCACAAACTTATTAGACACCTCAAAATGCAAGCGGTAAACGGGTACTTCTGGGGACCTAGCTGCAGGTCTAGACTCTCTAGGCGTTGACGGTAGGGCTGTAACTCTTTACAACGGAAAGGCAAAACAATAGAATCCAAGTTCAACTTCGTGCTGTGCCTCTGCTGGTAGACCTGTCAGCTTCGCAGCCGCCAGCGCGGCCTCTCAAAACGCGTAGACAGGATACAGCATACTTGTGGCACATTCCTTTATCCCATATTCACGGACACTGCAGGATTTCGTCCATCAGCACTAGGAGTCTTGATTGAAACAAGACCCCTGCACACGATCCGAATGCTCTGCGAACCCCGCAACGCGGTGTTTTGCCCGAAGCTTGCAGATGTTGTTTGTGAAATCCAGCCGTCAAGTGCATAACCTCATGTGGGATACGTTGCAAAATATCTAGCAACCTCATGCAGAAGAACCGACACCCCCCTAAACCCTAAACCCTAAACCCTAAACCCTAAACCCTAACTGCACCTTCAATGTCACCAGAACTGCAGCCTGGCTTCAAGTCAAACGGCCTCAAACCCTCAGAAGGTAAGAAAGTAGCATGTGTATTATTTTTGGTGCCTTAACACTTAGAATAGGGTCTCGTGGTATATCATATTATCATTTTAGTAAAGTGGGCCCGCCCAATCTAGCGTTACTAATTATTTAGGCCTTCGTGTTATATGCTCTTGGTAGCACCGGAAAACAGGCCACAACCCAACCAAGGAGCGAACATGACAGAAATGACCACTTCAGGGACAATAGGAGGGACCCCTAGAAGGGACCCCTAATCCTAATACCCTATATAACCCTAAACCCTAAACCCTAAACCCTAAACCGTAGTCCCTTGGACCACGACTTATAGAGACGCGAGGATCCTAAGCTTCAGCCTTTCGGGGTATTTAGCACTATAATCAGGAGCGCTAAGGCATAGTAGCGCCAGTTTTTCGTGCTTATACATACATACATATATATACATATATATATATATACATATATATATATATATATATATATATATGTGAAGTCTATATCTTAAACAGGCCGGTGGTCGCCTCATCTGCTCCGAATCCTGCGTGGTATAGCCCTAATAAGGATCCAGATTACAAAAACACCTTAGGATCACCTGTCTTTGAAACCCTGACCTCTGCTACAAACAGCGTTCCTAATCCTGGCCTTGGCTGCTGCCGTCGCTTCCTTGTCGGGGAGTAGGCCGGCCTGGTGGATATGCAGGGGCCTTAATAATGACTAGAACAAGGTCTGTGGGGTATAGCATGGTATAGTTATATCAAGAAGGTCTAAGGAATAAGAGTGGTTTTGACTCAGGCCCTATGTTGTGGTCACCATCCTTCTGCACACTTTTAGGTTAGGGTTTCGAGGGGCTTGAGTATTCAGCGCTAGGGGTTCTGCTTGCTTATTCTATCGCCAAGAATACAACAGTTGTCTGATTGTGCTACCAAGTGGTAGCACAGTAGCAGTGGTAGTCTTCGCTGCCGCACCTCCGCCTCCTCCTCCGCCTCCTCCTACTCCTGCTGCTCCTACTCCTTCTCCTCCTCCCCCCACAACTACGACGACTACTTCCTGCTAGCTTTGGGGCAGGAGGCCACTAATCAGCACATTGAGACGCAGGTTTTCGAGCAGCGACCCACCTGGCTCTTGGCTTCCGATTTAGGGTTTCATGGGTTTGGGTTTAGGGTTTAGGGTTTAGGGTTTGGGGTTTGGAGGTTTACAGTTTAAGTTTTCAGTGCTTCCGATGCAGCTTGGGTCTTCGCACGGACGCAGTAGTAGCCAGACGAAATCGTGGTTGCAGTATCTGCATAATATAGGGCCTTGATGTTTAGAATAGGGTTTTGGGGAATATTATACTATACATACAGTAAGGAACCCCCCAAAATAGCATAGGTAATTATTAAAGCCTCTATATTACACAGCAAGGCCGGTCCCTTTGCTCAAGAGACACTAGACAAACCTCTGGCAATGAGCTTGAAACCCTAAGGAATCCGCCCCGCCCCCCCCCCCCCTCTTAGAACAAAATGGCTCCAATAAGCCCCAAGCCCGTAGACCCAAACAAGCCTTCAACCCTGAAGCCCTTAAGTCCAAATACGGCCGAAGTTTCAACCCTAAACCCTAAACCCTAAACCGTCAAGCCTTCCTAAGAGACGTTTCCGTGTCACGCTATTCCCGGCCTTCTGGGCAGCCGCCTCGGCTGCCAGCACTGCCATCCGCACCTTCAGCGGTTAAGGTTTAGGGTTTAGGGTTTAGGGTTTAGGGTTTAGGGGTTCAAGAGGAGATCAGGGTCTTTTTCCGTAAGGTCACGGTTCCAAAGTTGGGGGGTCTGGGAGTTGAGGGTTTGGAGTTTAGGGTGTAGAGAGTTTAGGAATCTTTACTTGTCGCAGGCAAGGGAGATCGTGAATATTGGGGAGAGATATGAACGAAAGCACCACTACTCATGACCACCACCAGCTCCGGACCACACTCTCTAAGACTAACAGGGACTACTTGGAGGTTCATGGGTAGTTTTAACTGGGGTTATAAGTAGGGTAACAAAACTTATAACCCAGATTAGGGGACATATAACCCCACTTATAACTACCCATGAACCTCCAAGAACCTGAACCCTAAAGAACCTACCTTTTTATACTAGGATTCCTTACTATGATGTCTTTATATAAGTCCT